CCCCCCCCCCCGGTTCCGCCGTCCCTGCGTCTTGGAATAAGTTGGTCGCGTAATTACTAAATGGTTGATAGCTTTTCTTTGCCTTTTATTTTGTTTATATTTATTAGTTGTCTGACATCCCTATCTATCATTTCTGTTCAGGACGGAGCCCTGACAGCAGAAGAGATATTTAAACACTACAACAAATTTGCTACAAGCCGTGCTACGAGGTACGGTAGAATGTTGAAAGATGAAGTACCGCCCGAAGATGATGAAGCTCTCTTAAAGAAGACCAAAAAAGGTGAAAAACAAAACGAGAAAGCTAAAGAAGAAAAGAAAGATGGAAAAGCTGACGAAAGAAGAAAAGAAGACGGCGAAAGCAAAACCAAACAAGATGAAAGTCAAAGCGAGAAAGCGAAAGGAGAGAAGAAAAAAAATGATGGTGAAGATAAAATAAAAGATGGAAAGAAAGATAGTAATAAAAATGGAAGGCAAAAACCTGTTGATGAACTTTGATAAAATAATTATATTTTTGGTAATCGATTAATCTTATAGAATTGATAATGTGATAAATATCGTACTTATACTCGTCGATGCCTTAATGTAAAATAAATTTTTATTTGTTGTTAGGAACTGTGATTATTGGAAAATAAACGATCCATAATTGAACCTATGTGGTGCTCTTGAGAAGAGCCACGTATTGTAGTTAGTGTGCTTTTTATACGAGGATAGCTAGCTCTTACTCCACTAATTGAAACTGAACTAAATATGATTTAAATCGTGCACTAATGGGTATAGCAACCTACTTATAAGTCGTGCAAGTGGCAAAAGTTGCGGCTAAAATTTCTTAATATTTTGAGCAGCAACTTCTTAACCAAGTTTATTTGGCTATTTTTAAGGTTAATTTTTCAAGTTTTTACTCATTGATCTTAAAGTCTGATTAATCATCTGAATCCAAGTCAGAACGTTACACGTCATCAAATATAACGTAGACTAAACTAAGCCTATAAATAGCGAATATACGATGAATACAAAAGGGAAGAGTGTTCATTCAGCATATCGAAATGTCCATCATCTGGAACCTCACGATGGTAACCTAGAGTGGCTAGCCTTTGTATTGCGATTAGGAGCCTGTAAGATTGCAGAACGTGTCTTAGAGAGATTTTTAAACTGTGGAGCGAGCCATAAAAATTCATTTCTATACGCTGTAAGGTTATTTCCAGCTTGTCGGCGATCGTCTGTGCAACTTTGAAAGCGTTTGTAGTCTAAAGAAATCTAGTTTTTTGAGTTTCGTAAATCAGGATGATGTACAAGTTGTCATTTGCGATAGTTCTTCTAGCCGTAGTTATTGCAGTTCAAAATGCCGTAGCAAAGAAAAAAACCCCGGTACGAGTGAAAGAAGGCTCGTTCTCAGATCAAGAGCATTTTCATGATGGCAAACACGATGCAAAGTATGACCACGATGCCTTCCTTGGAGAAGATCAAGCAAATGAGATGGAAAAGTTGTCACCTACAGAAACCAAGAAACGACTTAGGTATGTCGATATTGCTACTCAATTAAAGTCAACTTGAATTAGCTAAAGACCCTCTTCGAATCTTTTATATTTGATTCTTAAAATCGAGCAGATTTAAAAAAAAAAGAGAAGAATATAGCGTCCTCTTTTAGTAGGCTACTTTAGTTTCCAAAGCTCGTAAAAATATACTACAAGTTTGTTAAGTATAAAAACATTCTCCACTAAATATTAAGTAATATTTACGCACCAGCTACTGTAGCTTTTAAGATAAGATTTATTCTCAGTCAAGAACAATTCAACAGGTGCAAATCATTAATCTAAACTCTACCATTAATATACTACCGTATCAAATCGATGAAAAAGTCTTTTACATTATCTGCATAAATGAACTCTTTTATCACAACAAACGGTTTACAATCAAATTAAAATCGGTTTAAGCTAAAAATGTTCAGTCGTGTCCACAAAAAAATTCAGAATCAACGTGGGKTTTTTATTTATTTGATCTTGCTTATTGAGAATTGATAACATTAAGTTTGATTTTCCCTCACTATATTTTAAAATTACTCGACTATGTTTGGAGGAAAATGAACTATCATGCAGTGTTTAGGACACGTCAGCTTAGCTTTAGGGATTACCATAAATTGATGAAGGTATCTAACCAAGCATGGCTGAAGCCTTGATTACACCAAATGTGGTGCTTCATTGAACATCTAAAAACCGGAATTTGAATTTTCTACAATTTAATTTATACGTCAGTGTTTTTCTTAAAAACCTTGAATTTTATGCAATGATTATTTGATTAATCCCCTTCTTAGTTTATTATCTTTTGTTTTTTCTTTTTCGGTTTTTTTTTTTTTTTTTTTTTTTTTTTTTTTTTTTTTTTTTTTTTGATTATCCTTCCTCGTGATTTTCTCTTTTTTTCCCTTCTATATGTAATTGTTGTTTTCACCTGCATTTTTCATTTCTTTTTCTACTTCTCCTTTTTTCTCCTTTTTAAAATCTTTTTTCGTAAATCTACACACTACAAAGCCTTCTTATAATTATTTGCGCAAAAATAAGTAATTCTTTTTATTTCTTATTTTTCGATAAATAACATGAAAAACCGGCTATGTTGGCGTGACTGCAATACTTTGCTCTAAATAGCACTAATTTAACACAAGAAAACAATAGAATTAGGTTGCCCGATTTTAGTGTTTGTAATCAGTCCATTCTTTGTTGTTCCAAAACGACTTCCAATTATAATGATTTGTTTAATGAATCTTAAACATAGATTGATATAGTCCCAATATTTACAACTCGTCAACGTTTTTCGTTCCTCGTATTTTCAGATCTCTTTTTGTCAAAATGGACGTAGATGGTGACAAAAAACTATCCCGTAAAGAATTAACAGACTGGATAGTAGATAACATGAAGAAACACGTGTTGAAAAGCACAAAAATGAGAATGAAGGAACTTGACAAGAATAAAGATGGCAAGGCCTCATGGGATGAATATGTAAATGAACAGTACGAAATGGTGTCAATAGACACGCCCGAAGGTTGGTTTTGGTCACGGGGGCTGGGGGGTGGTAGGGGAGGGGGTTGCTTACCATTTTAACAAATCCATCCGGACGGAAATTCGTTTGAAAACTGATAAGAAAAGAGCGCGAAAATTGGACTTCCAACAATTGGTGCACGCGTCTACATGAAGAACCGAAAAGAGTAGAAAGTGGTTACTTAAATCAGAAAACCGAGTTTTCCGGAATTTCCGATCGAAATGACACACAACATTTGATTTTCCAACCGGAATTTCCGGTTTTTCCGGGTAAATGGTAAGCTACCCAGCTCTGTGTGGTTTCCCTTCCCATGTGGCAAAGCTTATAAAAACGGTTGTGGAAAACCGGGATCACTTTGGCATTGCACTGCATTGTGGGACTGTTTGGGGGACATTTTTACCCAATTTTACCYCATGAAAAGTACCACAATACACTACATTGCCAAATCGATCCAGGTTTTTACCTCGACCTCAAAATAGCTAATACTCTCCTCGCCTCCTGCTAAATTTGTTAGCTTTACATTTTATTTAGCGATAGAACCCACTGTATCTACCCAAGTATATTTTTCGTATCCTTTACTTAAGTTACAAAGACAGATTGATTGCTGGTTTTTACGTTATTTTCTGTCACATGCGGAATGTTCGTCAGTCAGGTTTTTCAGGTTGACAGCACATGGTGCAAGGGTGGATCCAGCCAAAATTGTAGGGGGGACTAATTGAGTTTAGGGGGGG